AATCTAAGCGCGGGGGTAGGAGAGTGGGAAAAGTGAAACAGCTAAGTCACCGTCACGTCACGCAATTAACTGTACCTAAAACTTCAAGAAAAACTTCCGGAAAGGTATCTTTTTATCAGATACTTTCGCATACAATTTTTGCAAACGATTTTCAAGGATTAAAGAGGATTTAGATCAGACATGCTGACTTATAACGAAACCCTACGATGTTATTATGCAATAGCTGAGAGTGTAGGCAGTTGACGCAGTAAAATAATCAACATGCCTAACGATACTTTTAAAATAATCCCTAGGCCAAAAATTGCTTAAATAACAATCACTTGACAAACTGTTAACTATTTAACAATTCCTAGGTCGTCTCGGTTATAAACCAAAACTTAATTTTCTAACAATACTGAAGCAAAATTCTATTTTCTAACTATCTATATGCCAATAATCCCTACCCAAACATTTCCTACCCAAAGAATCCTTGTCAAACAACTAACCCAAAAATCATTGGCAAATGGACATGAACACAGACATTCGCTTTAACATAAACATTCACATAAACATAAACATAACAGCAAGAATGATTCATCATGGTGTCTTGTCATAAGCTACACACCTGTCATAAGCTACACACCTGTCATAAGCTACACACCTGTCATAAGCTACACACCTGTCATAAGCTACACACCTGTCTTAAGCTACACACCTGTCTTAAGCTACACACCTGTCATAAGCTACACACCTGTCATAAGCTACACACCTGTCATAAGCTACACACCTGTCATAAGCTACACACCTGTCATAAGCTACACACCTGTCTTAAGCCACACACCTGTCTTAAGCTACACACCTGTCATAAGCTACACACCTGTCATAAGCTACACACCTGTCATAAGCTACACACCTGTCATAAGCTACACACCTGTCATAAGCTACACACCTGTCTTAAGCTACACACCTGTCATAAGCTACACACCTGTCATAAGCTACACACCTGTCTTAAGCTACACACCTGTCTTAAGCTACACACCTGTCATAAGCTACACACCTGTCATAAGCTACACACCTGTCATAAGCTACACACCTGTCATAAGCTACACACCTGTCATAAGCTACACACCTGTCTTAAGCTACACACCTGTCATAAGCTACACACCTGTCATAAGCTACACACCTGTCTTAAGCTACACACCTGTCTTAAGCTACACACCTGTCATAAGCTACACACCTGTCATAAGCTACACACCTGTCATAAGCTACACACCTGTCATAAGCTACACACCTGTCATAAGCTACACACCTGTCTTAAGCTACACACCTGTCATAAGCTACACACCTGTCATAAGCTACACACCTGTCATATGCTACACACCTGTCGTAACGACCGATAATTTTCTCATTGCTCAACCAACCAATGAAAAGCTTCTTGATGTTCAAACAGGTCACACAAATGACGACAATTTGTACATGTAATGTGCATACATGGCTTTTCAGTTTAATTAACATCAATTGCATACATGGCTTTTTTAAATGGCATTTTAATTCCATTTTAATTAACATTAATGGAAAACAGCGCTTTTTTAATGACAACATTTCAGTATAATTAACATCGATCCCATATATGGCTTTTTAAAATGACATTTCAGTTTAATTAGCATCAACGTCTGCTGATATAGGACTAATAAACCCGGAGTGATTTCCCCTAAACTTTCTCGAATATTCTTATATAACACTACGGGGGGGGGTGCAACTCAGGATATAGACACTATTTTTAATCCATTTTTATTTAATTAAACTTTTTTAAATAGAATATAATTGAAGGTGATGGGTGATTGAAGATGATGGGTGATTGAAATGATGGGTGATTGAAATGATGGGTGATTAAAGATGTTGGGTGATTGAAGATGATGGGTGATTGAAGATGATGGGTGATTGAAGGTGACTGGTGATTGAAGGTGATGGGTGATTGAAGATGGTGTGTAATTGAAGGCGATCGGTGATTGAAGGTGACTGGTGATTGAAGATTGCGTATGATTGAATATGTTGTACGATAGTGTCGTAGAAGTTGGCGTGTGCTTAAAGATGGTATATAATTGAAGATTGAGTGTGATTAGTACTCTACGTAAAGATTGTGTGTGAATAAATATCATGTGTGATTCAAGATGGCGTCTGTTTTAAACAAATATCATATTCTACGTTTCTTCTTTGCAGTAAAAAAAAACACAAATCGATATTATTGTGTAATGTATTGTCTGTGTACTCAATACGATTTAGTTTGAACAGGTAGCCTAAGCTATTGGAAAACAATTATCATGATTTGTTTTGTTTTATAGTCTTGTTGACATATGCACTGAAAGTTTAACGTTTGTAAGGTAAATTGGCTGTCTTCTCTACAAAAAGCATGATGTTGCTTTCAAGAAAACACATGATGGTGATGTAAATAAGAGAAATGGTGGTGATGTTAATCAATGTTGATAGTGATGTTCATGTGATATGTGATGTTGCTGTTAATAAGCCACCTGACGGTGATGTTAATAAGAGATGCGATGATGTTTATAGGATAAATGATGGTTATCGAATTTAAAAAAAAATGATGATGATTTTAATAAGACATCTGATGGGGTTGTTAATAAGACAGATGATATTGATGTTAATAGCACGAATGATGTTGATGTCAATAATTTAATGATGTTGATGTTAATGTAACACATTGTTTTGATGTGAACAAGACAAATGATGATGTTGTTTAGACTGTAAATAAGACACATGATGGCAATGTCAAAATGTCAATAATGTCAATACATGACGATGTTCACAATAATTCATTTCATGCTCAGTAGTGTTGTCAAAACTTCGTGATGATGATGTTCATTTCAATGTAATCTAACTAGAAAGTTGTTTTGTTTACAAATTTAATGTACCCTTCTTTATGTAATAAAAAGCATTGAATTGTAGTTTCCTTTCATGAAGGATCAAACGGATGTGTTATGTCAGGCGTAATGAACAATGTAAGATTTTATTTTTAAATAATTGACTTACAGTAAAATGTGTGACATGTGTCAAAGCACAGGGACGTGTAGTGTGTTGTGTAATATGACTTACAGTAAAATGTGTGACGTGTCAAAGCACAGGGACGTGTAGTGTGTTGTGCAATAAGACGACCTACGGTGTGTGTAAAAACATGATGTCCCCGCTCACCCCCCCCCCCCCCGCCTACACACCCTCTTTTACACCTCTTCTCTCGCCACATTCTTTGCATCCTCCTCGCAATCTCCTCATTCTAACATTACACTCTCACTGACCTCCCTCTTCTACCTCCCTCCCTCCCCCCCACCTTCTCCTCAACATCGTATTACCCTCCTTACAACTGTTCAACCTCACCATGACGATCTATGGGGCAAGAGAAATAGAGTGTCGGCATATGAAGAGATAGTGTGGTCAGCACAATGCCTAGCCGCCTTTACTTTCCCTAACGTGTGTTAGGTACCCATCAGAGCTGGGTGGACTCAGGGACGGTCTACTGACTTGAACCCTTTACTAATCCTCTCCCTACCTTCTATTAGACCCCACTCTCCTCTCGCTCACTAGTTCTCACCACATCCCCCACCCTCCCGCACACATCACCATACCCCCACACACCACCATGCCCCCACATATCGCCATTCCCCACCCACACCACAGTCCTTCATGCTCACAATGTCTCCATCCTAACATCGCCATCCCCCACCAGCCTAAACACTCCCTTACACTCTACCAATCCACTGTCAACCAATTTAACACCCAGTCCTCACACCCTTCCCACTCCCTCCCCTATTTTACTCCCACTCTCCCCCTCTCCACACACCCTATAAAGCTCTCCATACTCTTTAAGCACCCTCTCCACATCCTTCCCCTACCCCCCCCCCCCTCATTCAGCCTACACCCCACCAACACCCCCCCCCCCCCCCGCCCCATCACAGTGCCATCATCACTAACACATATAAACCCAACCCTTACTAATCTTAACCTGTCACCCATGACATAACTTGATCTTATATCAAAAAAATGTTTTGTAACTATTATTTATCACCTCAAAATAGTCTAATAATTACAAAACTATACTTTATATGTGCAGTGATTTTTTCAAAACAAATCGATCCAAACAGTTTTCTATTGAGCCTATGGCTAGTTATTATTGAATGAAAAACCTTACTATCAAACTAAGTTAGATTAGCTTAGCTTTAATTATTTTCTCTCAATAAATTTCTTCGTAAACAATCTATTTACTGGCTTAAAAATACTATTTCAGGGAAGAATATTTATTGGTAAAGGTGAAGTAGAGTGAATCTGTTTCTCTGGTCTCGCTGCTTCTTTAATTCCATCAGATTTTTTTTTAGATTCATGGACGTCTTACATACTTCAGCTGGTAATCTGAACTCGAGAACTTCAACGTAGTACATATATGCGCTAACATCCAACCACACCGTCTTCTACTAACAGCATTAACCACCAAAACAGGATATTTTCAACACGCCTCAATGTTAACTGCTTAAAAATTGGCAGGGATGTTGAAATAAGTGTCTTAGTGTACCCTAAAAATCAATGTATAGAGAGAGTGGGACACTCAATGCACTCTTCAACGAATCACACAGGTAAAATAAACTAACATTTCATTGATATCTGAATGTAGTTTCAATCTCTATTAAAACATGTACACATGTATCTATAACAAAATATCCAGTTCTGCTGATCAATATAGAATATTTTAGATGTTGAATCTATGGATAAAACTCAACGATCAGTAGTCGTAACAACACAAATTGTAGCATCAGCCTAACTTTTATTGTTTGATTGTTAATCTAAAAAGAACAGCACATTTTCGGTGAATTGAATCGATGAAGTCGTAGGCAGATTTAAATTCAACTGTTGCGTTGTGTCCATTGATTGGGCAAAAGAAGAGAAATGAAATAATAGCCTAAACAGACTCCTTTCACATCCATTGGTCGTTTCTTTCTTCATCAAATCTGATTGGTTAACTACAAGGGTATACGTGGAGCAGACTCGACAGATGAATTTTTAACGGTCTTAACTTTCTGCTTAGTCTTCCAGTTTGGTAAGTGCACATATGTATATCTGTAAATGTATAGAGAGATATGTATATATATATATATATATATATATATATATATATATATATATATATATATATATATATATATATATATATACATTTAGTTTATATATATATATATATTTATATATTTAGTTTATATATATATATATATAGTTTATATATATATATATATATATATATATATATATATATATATATATATATATATATATATATATAGTTTATACATATATAATATATAGTTTAAATATATATATATATATATTATATATATATAGTTTAAATAAATATAGTGTATATATATATGTATATATATATATATATATATATATATATATATATATATATATATATATATATATGTATATATATATATATATATATATATATATATATATGCACCCAAAAAACTATTCAAAACTGTACTCCAATTCTTCCGTTTTGTTAGTGGTTTTACAAAAAATAAAAAATAAAAATAAACACAACGGGAAAAGTACTATAAATAAATACAACGAAAGAATGCCGTTCAAGCAGGATTCGTGAGTAGATTTATGATTAAGAGCTTGGATTTGGAAAATCAAAGAATTAAGTAGACAAAATCTCCCTGAGCGCCGTTACGATACGACAGGCCGGCGTACAGACCGCTGGTATCTGCGTTACGGTCTGAACGTGTTAAAAAAAAAAAAAGTACCTTTTCTTTTTAGTACATTTTTACTTTCTAGTATACGAAGTATAGAGTAAGTATTGTTATCGTATTTTACACCTCCCTGAGTCGGAAAAATTTGCATTTGTATCCGTATGTCTATGTGCGTGTATTTGTATATGTGTGTTTGTGTGTCTCTGAACACGATAACCTGAGTACCATCAGAGCTACGTAATGAAATGTCAAATATAAGTATGATATCAAATTTAAAGTTCTATATAAACTTTTCAGCGATTTCCGGTAACCGAAAGTGAAATTTATTCTGTTTTTTTTTCAAAAAACTATAACTTGAGTACTGTTTCTGATAGAAAAATTTAACATATAAGTAAAAATATTTAATTCTCTGTTTTCTGTCAAATTTCCGGTTACCGGAAGAAGTAGTTTGCGCTATTTCTGTTTTCTCAACAAAAAAAAACGAATGAATTTATTAAGTATTATTTACAAATTGTTAGCTGTTCATTTGGTGCGCAATTTATTTTCTACCTGTATGTATTCTATTTTTAAAAGTGTAAGTATTTTTTAAAAATTGATTAAAAATCATGTCTATATCCTGAGTTGCGATCCCCCGTAGTGTTATATAATAATATTCAAAAAAGTTTAGGGGAGATCACTCCCGCTTCATTTATATTTATTCTATTCTTTGTAATAAATATCTTTCAACGTGTAGTGGGTTAAGGCTCATTGGGTTTTTACTACTTGCTATTATAAAATACATTTCTTAAACAACTATAGAATTTATAAAAAATATCTTTTCCCGTCTGTGTCCTATACAAATGAAGCAGATGACGTAGGTGTTATTTTCAGTTCTTCAGCAACTGTTACACAAATAAATAAATAAAATGTCCAATTTCAAACTAAATGATATTTTTTTTCAGAAGTCCAACCTTCTGTGTCTATTAGAAATGTCTTACAGTTTTAAAATTCTATCTGGCTTTCTGTTGCTTGTAAGCGCTGCCAGTGTAATGAGTAAGTAAGATTTTCTTTAAATAAGCTATCCTAAAATATAATCGATATACATAAATGCTAAATACAACATGCTAAACACTACAAAGTAAACGCTAAACAGTTAATATCAAAAACTAAGCATTACATCATCTTTTCCTCACGTGTCCAAACATGGGGAAACTAAAGTAGATTTCATGTTTCAGAGACCTCGGCATATCGAAAAAAATGTGTTGTCAGCACTATGCCCAGCCACCATTGTTTTCCCTAACGTGAGTTAGGTACCCATTATAGCTGTGTGGGCTCAGGGACGTTTTATGAGCTTGTACCCTGATCCGTTCTCTAGGCTTTCGGGTTAGCAGTCAAGCGCTCTACTGCTAGACCATGCCATCCCATAAACTATACACCTAACTCAAAACACTACACAATAAGCGATTTACACTATCTTATGATTCCTATAAAGTGCTATATCATTACAGTATTGAATAGTTCAACTATGGCTTTATCTATTCGCCTACCATTCATCATTTTACCATTGTGCCCGGTCAGCTGAAGAATTTTATTTTAAAAAAAGCGATACATCCTTTGAGATTACATGAACATCTAGCATATTCATGCTGATAAAATATACAACTTCTATATATATAATTCTCTTCTGGGAGACGCTAGAAAACAAGTTGAAAGCGCTTCCAACCACCCCACCCCTACATGGTCTGGTGAGCTGTGATTCACGCTAAATGTTTACATTCGTAGA